AAAAATATCCATGAACCGGGCGTAATGCCGTTCATTTTCCCTCCTAGATGGAGCATGTGGATATGGTAAGTTTTGGACCAGAGTAGTGCTCACTACCTCCTTTCCTCTAGATGCTCTAGAATTCCGCTCTTTTTTCTTCTTCACATCCTCCACCTTCACTTTTTCACTCTTATCATTTTCTACTTCAACACTTTCTTTATTTTCAACTTCAACCTTTTTTTCATTATTTTCAACTTCTTCCTCACTTTCCTTCTCAACTTCACCATCAATTCTATCATCAATTTTTTTCTCGTCATTTTTTCTCTCATCCTCTCTTTTTTCACTCTCATCTCTTTTTTTACTCTCACTAACCAACTCCCTTCCACTTCTCATCGTGATTGCTTTACAATGCTCCTTTGGATTTGTTGCGTGTTCGCCGAAAAAGAAGGTCCGGATTGTTGTTCCGCTAGTTGCTTAACAAGTTGTCCAACTTGAGTTTCAAGATTTTTGATTGCCGCATCGTTGCTCTTTTGATTAGCCATTGACATTTGCATGAATTGCGTCAATGTATCTTCCAATTTTGAAGTTACGACCGACGGTTGTTAAGGTTGATAAGGATTTTGACGGCTAGAATTACCACCCCCATAACCTTGGTTATGGTGATAGTTACTCCTTGGTTGGTACCCTTGATTTGGTTGATAGTGTTGTTGTGGTTGATTTTGAGAATGTTGTTGATACGGTGGTTGTTGTTGTTGTTGCCTTGGTTGGTAGTCTCGTTGATTCGCCATATAGTTTACCTCTTCGAACCCGGGAGGTGGACAAAATCCGGTATCATGTTCACCTTTGCAAAGCTCACAACAAGCTATTTGTTTAGCTTTTGAGGGCTCTTTCATCTTTTTGATTTGTTGAGTTAAGAGTTCCACTTGTTATGAAATGAGTTTATTTTGTGCAAGGATAACATCATTTGCCCCAAGTTCAAGCACTCTCGGTTTCTTCAAAGTGTTTCCTCTACTTTGGCTTTGAAGGTCATTTAGAGCCATACAGTTGATGATATCCGTAGCTTCATCGGTGCTTTTAGACAACAAAGAACCACCCGCAATGGCATCCAACAAGGTCTTACAATTTGGTTGAAGGCCATTCTTGAAAATATGGATTTGCGTCAATTCATCAAAGCCATGACCCTTGCACTTTCGAAGCATGGATTTAAATCTTTCCCATGCCTCGTTCAATGATTCGTTGGCTCCTTGGGAAAACACGAAAATTGCTATTTTGGATTCCATGAACCGGTTGTGAGAGAAAAATCTTTCAATGAATTTCTCTTCCAACATGTTCCAATCCGTCATGACCGCCGGTGTTTGATTCAAGTACCAATCTTTGGCTTTGCCGAGCAAAGCATGTGGAAAAAGTCTTTTGAACAATGATAGCTCTTGAGCTTGATCAACTCCCGCCGCCAATGCTATCTCATAAAATTTGGTGAGAAAAGCAAAGGGGTCTTCATGGTCCATTCCGGTGAACGAACCTCCGTATAACAAATTGAGAGTTCCCGTCTTCATCTCGGCTTGCCTTCCCGTGTGGTTGGCAAACTGAGTAGTGTTTCTTGAACTGTTGATACACAGGGTGCAAACGAGCGGTGGTGGTGGTGGATTCATGATAGGTATGAAATAAGGTGGTGGTGTTGTAGAAGAACCTTCTCATTGTTCTTGTCGTTGTCGAGCAAGTTGCCTCCTCCGTCTCGTTTTGCTATTCAGTCTCCTTGCGGTTCTCTCGATCTCGGGATCAAAAAGAAGTTGGTCCTCAGGAATCTGCCCTCGCATAAAACGAAAGCTGCACACTAAACCAAACAAATTAATAAGCACAAGTCAAAAAATTCAAGAGTTAACAATTTAACAACTATTGCGATGCTCGCAATATCAATTCAAATTCCCCGGCAAGGACGCCATTTTGTTAAAACAGTGGTAAAGTGTCGGGTTTTTGTTATCGTCTCCACAGGGAATTTGAGATATTGCCGCCAATTGACAGTTATCAAGTTCTTAACTTTTTAGTAACAACAGGGGTTTGGTTTTTAGTAACAGTATCTTTGCATAAAAGGTAATGGATCGCGGTAAAAGATTGATTTTACGATTTTAATGAAGATTGTCAAAGTTAGGGTTCGTTAATCACTTTGTTTGTATATGTCCGATCAACAATACACATAAACTCCTTTAGATGATAAACACATCCATAACGTCCTCCCAATGTGATTATTTCTAACTCACATTGTGATTTTTCCCATTTTGATCCATTGTTGATTTCTCACACAATCTATCAAAATGACAACATTTAGGTTTAACATTTTTCATGAATAACCACATTCGAAACTATTTCTAGCTTAAGAAAATAGAAGGATGAAAACTTAGGTCAAGAGTTGGAAAATATTTTTCGATCATAAACCAACACAAAAAGTTATAGATAAAGCAAGGTTTTCACCATATATTCATCATCCAAGAGTTTATAAATGAAGATCATCCATACACTTACAAAGCTTAATGATCACCTACATCTAACCTTGACAAAATGAAGAACTTAGCTACTCATTTTCATGGTAGCTTACAAAAGAAGTTTTGGAAGAAGGTTGATGAACATCCGAGTCAAAGAATCCAACTTGGATGAGAATCCACCTTCTTTTTGTAGATTAATGTTTTTGAAATGAAGAAAAATAAGAGATAGAGGGTTTCTAGGTCACAAAATCTCTTATGCAGCAAAACTAGTGAAAAATAATATATCTGTTCCAAAAGTACATAGGGCTATATAGAAAAAGTTGTTGTCCTGTCACGCTCGCGACTTCATTTTCCTAGCGAGCTAACAACGAACGTTCGCTACAGCTTCTCTTAGCGAACATGCTAGCGAGGGCTGAGGAAAAGATTCTGGAATGCTTCGCTACTTGCTCGCTAGGTGCTCGCCTAGCGAGTTCTTCGCCACCTACCTCGCTGCCAGCGAATAATGCCATTTTGATTCTGCCCAAGTCTGGGAGTGTTCGCTAGAAGCTTGCTATGGGCTCGCCTAGCGAACAACTCGCTGCAACATTCGCCAGATGTTCGCCTAGCGAACATGCTTTTGCTCTTGTTCTTTCTTGATTCCTTTGTCATCTTTCTTGTGTCTTCAAATTTTTCTCTTTCATGCTCAAATACTGCACAATAACACACAAATTAAAAGGATCAAGAGCATTTCACATCATATCGCATATCAACAAAAGCAAGGCGGTTTTGAACCGAAATTAGACAAAAAGGAGTAGAAGATGCCCACATTTGATTGCTCAAATAAGCACAATTAGGCATCTAACACTCACCCCCATCAGAGTAACCTTTACTGCAATGTATCTCTTGACGCTGAAATATTCTTGCATGTTACAAGACATTCCTGGATGGATCACTTCACCCATAAAAGCTTTTTAAATTTTTGCTGCTTTTCCAACATCACCCTTGAAAACCAAGAACTTGTTAGAACATTCTTCAGAAGAGATGTGCTCCATCTCTTTCTTGGAACAATCTTTTTAAACTACCTGTGTGAAATAAGAAAGAGGATTAACTTTATGAGCAACTTTCTTGACCGGAACCTTAAAGACGTTACCCCTTCCCTCTTTATACCCCTTTCCACCGGTAACATCATCTAAAGGTGCTTGATGTGATAGATCAGTAGCTTTATTCTGCCTTTCCCTGATGAACCTAGGAGGATTTGCATGAATCTTCTTGCCCTTGATAAAGATGTTGGACAACTTCACCGCCGACGATCTTTCATCTCGCAAAACCATATTGCTTTCCCCACTTATCTCTCTTCGGTGGAATGACCACCTCCACTATGTCACCGAACACTTGAAATTCTCGATACAAGTCTTTGGCTACGAAGTTTTCTGAAAAGCTGCGATAAAAAAACTAGAAACCTTTGAAGCCTCATTTTCCTTTCTAGTACCTCTTCTTACTGCATCCCAATCATATCTCTTATCTCCTATTCGCTTAACCTCCGTCCACCCTTTAATGTTCCTATCATTTCTCCTTGTGTTCGCCATGAAAGGAAGAAGAAGTGACTAGAAATAGAAAAAGTCAATCTAGAGAGAAGTTGGAGTATCTCTCACAATAAAGTATACACCTGCATTTGCGAATTCGCAAGCACCTAATTTAAAGATGTATAATTTATTTTAATGTGTTTGATTATTTTTTTTAATACATATGTACGGTAACAAATTTACTATTAATACAAATATTTTAATGCCAAAAAATAATAATATTTATATACAGAAAAAATATTATCCATTAAAATATTTTTATATATGTAAAAGTTTATAGACACGAGCTTATTATCTCTTTTAAAAATAATAAACTCTTTTGATTAAATAATTTTGTCTTTCTTTCATTTTATTTTTATTACATTTTAAAAACAAATACGCGTAACATATCCGTACCCGTCCGTAGGTACAAGTATTTTACTAAAAAATTTGAAGGACCATTTGTATTTTACTAGGTATTAATACATTTGTAATTAGCTGCTTTTTGTAAATCTTAATTATTTTTCTTTTCAATTAATTACCTATTTCCTACTTTATTTGCAATTATTAATATATTTATTTATTTATTTACAACTTCTATTGTATCTATATATATAATACATCTTTTCTATTTTTTTCATTATTAACTAATAATATTTTTCATATTTTTTTTCATCATTATATATTCTATTTCTAAAATTTCAAACAAGTGACAATTAAACATATCATACTAGTAGAGATATTCCAATGGTGATATACGATTTAAATACAATGTCATGAATTTTGAGTGTTAAAATAACACATTCTAGTAGAAAGAGTCAAATATCCTCAATAAAAAAGATTGCAGTTGTGATAAGATGTTTAATGCACCCTTTATTTTACATTTTCCCCTAAGTCAGCAAAATTAAAATACATTGAAATTACAAACTCTTCCACATAAAATGATAAGAATTCTATTTAATAGCACACTGAATCCACAATGGTACCTTCACTAGCATATATCTCAATGAAGAATATCTATGTTGTTGCTTAGCTCCTCCAGCTTCTTCATCCTCACCCTCTCACTTTCAGTCACAAGCTATAATCCAAAGTTCACAACAAAAAAAACATTAATGTTATATGAATATACTTAAAAATTCAATTCAATAAATAATTTCTTACCTCTACTAATTTAGTAACAAGTTGAGCCTTTTCTTTGTTTTTCTCATTGAAAGCCTCAAGAGCTTCATTGTATTCTCTCTCCTGTCACACCAAAAATATATAGTTTTACAAATAGCTTTTGAAATGTTTTCTCTCAACCTTGTTTCAAATTGTGGACATGATGATGGAAAAAAAAAGCATGCATTAGAAATTTTAAATAGCAACTTAACAACTACTCCATCACTCCCAAAATAAGGATCTCTTAGTTTTTTTAATACTTATTATAAAAAGTATAAATAAATGAACAAGAATTAATAATTATTATCATGTTTTAAAAAATGGGACCAAGAAATTAAAGCAAATAATTAAGGTTGTCAATTGACTAAATTCTAAGTCATGAATTAATTGGTTGTATCAAAAGATGTGTTGGTAAAAAACATATGGGGTATCCCATTGTCTCTTTGAACATTAATCCTATGTTGTAAAGAACAAAATTTCAAAAGCAAAACAACAATTAGCATAACAAACAGTTAGAAAATGTCACCTTTTTCTGGCATGTTTGACCCAATGGTTTCAACTCTTTGTTCACCATGTCTATCTTCTTTCTAACCATTGCAACATCTTTCCTCATTGGATCTGTGAAACCCTCTATCTCCTATACAATTTCTCAAACAAATATTACTTATAATACATGAAAAAAAAACTTAAATATAACTAAATGTAAATAATTTTGTAAGAAACCACATTCAAACATTTTAAACGTTAAGGTGACAATATTGTGATTGCGCGATTTTCTACTATATCAAAGGTCACAGCGCGACCTGACCTAAGTTTCAAAACATGTTGAAAGATTTACGTATACATAAACCAAAAAAACAAAACAAATAATGAAGTATTTGTTAATTATTGAACTTACTTCTCTTATCTCAGCCAACCTCTTTGTTTCCTTCTCGACTCGACCGAGATGAGCATGAACTTTATCTCTAACCTCCAATTTTCTCCTCTCAATTTCTTCTTCCTTTGCTCTAAACATTGCTAGAACTGATCTTGACATTTCCTCTTCTCTTTCATCTCTTCTTGGACTCTGAATGTTGTTAATCATTCCTGAGTTCTTCACTTGTTGCACAATTTGTTGTTGTTGTTGATCATATGATCTTTTTGGTGTTGCCATTGTTGCTCCACAAATCACACTTTTTTCTCTACCTTCTTTTCTTTGGAATGATAATAACTCTTCTTTTTCTATCCCTTAGGTGCTTATAAAATAAAACTCGCTTTTAAGCCAAGTATCTTATTTTAATAGTATTTATCATATATATTATTTTATCAATGTAGTAAAATATAAAATAGTGAATATCACATAAATACACTTTTTCAATATTTTAATGTTGGTAAACTTAGGGAAGAATCATAATGGGCCTGCTTTGGTTAGATAACTAGCTATTTTCTTAAATTGGTATATTGTCAAGTTAAGTTACTATGGCTTCTCACCATACCATTACTCTTTTCATGAAATAAATAACTATGGACCAATTTTTTTTTTTTTTACCATTTATTGGAGCAGACAATACATGAAAAATACTTTTTGAGGTTGCTAAGGATTAGGCAATGTTGGTAAACTTATGAAGTACTAATACATCTAAGATTAGACCTATATATGTATCAAAATGATATTCTTAACAACAAACACATTTAACTATTTATCATATTTATACGATAAATAAATAAATATTTTATTAAAAAAATTTATATATTTTTTTATATTTATATTTTTAGATTAAAGAATATTGATATAAAATTGTATAATTAATCAACTTCATAACTTTATTAATTAATATTTTATATTTCATTAATCAACTTTATTTTACTATTTAAAGTCACTGTTACGTATTGTTAATGACATTGTTCACACACTATTTATGACAGTGTTCACATATTGTTTATAACATTGTTCATAAATATATTTTTTTTATTTAAAAAAAAACATTATTCATCATAAATAAATACGTATGTAAACAATATATACGGTCTAAATATTTGTGTCAACATAGTATTGATATATATGTTTTTACCAAGTATTCAACAATTCAGACGAATCTTTTAAAAATATTTTTTTTTTGTTTTGGCGCATTTTAGACACTCATTTGATGCATCTTAAACACATTTACGAGGTAAGGATATGTGGATGTAATGGTGAGTAACAATGTTGTCAATATTTCTATATTAGTATGTCGATGCATTTTATAGACTTATTTTGAGTGCGTGCTTCATAGTAGGTAATGATAGAATGTGGTTTTTCTGAAAATGAAAATGGAAAGGTGCTTGGAGGAGAAGTTATGGTTGGATAGTGGACAGAAGGGGCTCACCTAGAAAAGCATGTCTGTGGAAGAGACTTAGGGAACAAGAAAGAGTAGGAGAATTGGCAGGAACTACTATGCTAGTTGCCTTTATCACAAATCATTACCCCATTTGAGGACCAGGTCACACAAAAAAAATTATATATAGAAGAAAGTAAGTAGCCTTACACCTTGGCATTGTAGGAAAAGATTTCAGCAAGTATTTCAAATTTTAAGTAGTTGAGAGAATCTTAGGATTTAGGGTTCCTCAGCACATGTATATCACATAAAAAAAAGTGTGAAATTAATATCTATTAAAATATATTTTGCTTTAATTTATACTTAATTTAATTTTGCTTTAGTTTATATTTAAAATGTACTATTTACTCGGCACTAGTCAAATCAAACATAACATGTTTATAAGAATTGAAAAATGGTTTTCAAGGCATATTTTAAGGTGAACACCCTTTTATTCTTGAGTTAATAATGTAAGGCAATAATGAAAATAACCTTAACAATTTAAGTAGGATAAGTACAACACATGCCAATGCATGAAGGAGAGTTAATGATGATTACTTTCCAGGCTGACAAAGGATCCTATATGTTTGGGTTAATGCTTTACATAAAGTTGCAGTCAAATGTAATTAATCTTTAGAACCATGTATGTACAGACTAAAAAAGAATTTTCATTTTTGTCAAACTCAGAAAGAAAAAAAAAGTAACCAAAGCATAGAGGAAAATGTAAGTAGTTGTTTTCATTCTTGTTATTGGGTTAATTAGAAAAACTTAACTAAGTCTAAATGTCATTAGGGTTAGGTATTTGCGCAGCTAGGAATTCTAATCTCTCATTGGCAAATAGGTTTGATAAACTCATTTGGAGCAGTTCCCCTAATGGTATATTCGGCCAAGTATGGTTACGGGTGGTCGGATCGGGCTTTCACACAATGCACCCACTGACATCTTGAAGTTGGATTTGGCCGTTACCATTTATTGAAAAACCTAAAGCATTTCTGTTGGCTATTGATGCAAGGTTGTCTTCCTACTAATCCCTTCTCCGTAATCTGTCCATAACTGCATCTTCGTAGCATACTGAAATAGAAGCAGAAAACCAGAAAGTTGTATTTTTGGCAAAAAAAATATCACTAACATAAAATCAACATTACGTAGGTGATGTTAACATTAAAACAAACTTTACATTTCAATATCCAAGTTGACGCTTCAACATCTTCACAATATCTTCGAATGATCTTGAAATCTTCGCTTCCACCTCGCTTGAAACTTTTATTTCGAAATGGAAAAATGTATTTCACATAGCCCTTACATCTGCATCCGTCTTGAGCTCATTGTTTTTGAACTTAAACTTGCCTTCATAGTTAATTGATGGTGAATGATACTCGAACTTCACAATTTTTCGATTATCTCCGTAAGGTAGGAGAATTTGCACTTCGTATCGCAGATCTGCAAAAGGGATGTACTCATTGATCTTAAATTCTCGCACTAGCTTGGTGTCGCGCTGGAGAAGAAGACATTAGCGAAATACTAGATGATGTTCATTTGTGACATTTTCAACATTTTTTCTATAACATTCCATGCATCCATAAATTTTTACACTATCACACATGCCTTCACCATTTTTCCATCTTCGACCATTATTTGTTTTATCCCTACCACAAGTTTAACCCGACTTCTCAAATTCTTTGTTATGTGGTAATGATGACTTTTCGACAAGTGTACCGATAGTGTCGAAGTAATAATTAAGATCGAATCCACAGGGACTATGTTCAAACAAGACAAATTTGTGCAATGTAATGAAAATAGTAAAAGGGGGTTCAGTTTGCAGTGCGGAAAAGTAAATAAGGTGTTTAAACAGAATTAGGAAAGAATTCATGTTGTTTTATTTTTATTTTTTGATAAGAGGTCAGGTTGTGTATTGAATCTCATATTTCTCTATTGTTGATATTTGATTCCTTATCACTATAATTTTACTGTAAGTTAACAAAGCCACTATAATCAATCCCTTTCGAAATAACTCACAAATCACTGCTCAGAGTTTCCTATCCCATGCCCACCAGCGTAAGCAGAATTAGGCGATGCACAGAATATTAATTCACTATGCCACTACTCAGGGTCTCTTATTTCTATTCAACCAGCGTAAGTACCATAATTGCCCTAGGTCCAACACATAGGCTAATGGTCAGTATTCTCTATGTGCCCAAAATCAATTTAAAAAGTATCTCAAATAAAAAAAATTAAGAACAATAAGCAATTGCATAGAAATATAGATCAAAGGATTCATACAAAGTCAAATCAACATATAACCCAACAATATCAAAACAGGTTCATCACACACAACCTAACCTAGAGGAGTTTAGCTACTCATAATTCCAATTACAATACCAATAAAATAAAGAACAATAGCATATGATTTCCCTTGAAGGATTTGAAGGTGTGAGAAAACACAAGAAAGGGGGTTTGAATTGGGTTTTCAAAAATGAAAGCTTTTGTGAAATTCAAACAAAGATCACAAATAAAATAACAAGAGAGAAAGACACACGATATATCCTGGTTCACTTGAAAACTATCAAGTTAATCCAGTCCACCCACCAAGGTGATTTCGCTTTTTACACAAGGAATTAATCCACTATGATCAACTAGTTACACTGCACTAGCAACCGCTGTTGACTAACAACATGAACTAACTATCTCTTCTTAAGGATTCTGACCCAACTGGTCCCTTAAGGAATCATAATCTGCACTAGCAACCGCTGGTGACTAACAACAAAGACTAATTATCTCTTCTTAAAGATTCTGACCAAACTAGTCCTTTAAGGAGTTACAAACAACTATTTGAAAAAATATGTTTACAATGAATTGCTTCTACATAAGCAGATATAAACACTATTAATAGCTCAAATGACGTAGTGAAACTTTCATAGTATGAACAATGTTCTTTCTTTGTATTGTGGTGCTTCAATACTGTTGCTTCAGTTCTTCATAGATCGCTCAATTCTTGTCATTCATACTTTTTTGATAATCGTTTTTCGTTGTATAAATTGTTATTTTTAATCTCTTATTTTTCTTCAAGTCATCAAGTCCTTATATAGCCAGAAAATGATCAGTTGGAGGGCAGATCAGGTTAGATAGCTGGCGACTTGAAATAATGTGGTTACGCAGGGATGCAAGTCTCACACAAAAGTTGTCCTTTGTACCACCAAATCAGGGTAGTGGAATGGAACATTGAAACGTACTATGTACTATTTTCCCTTGTAAATGTTTGAGCTTATCTTTTGTACATCAGAGGCTTCTGAATAGATATGATTGAAGCATAAGTAGAAGAGTTGATCACTGGGTCTTCAGAGTCTTCAGAACTTGTTCATTAGAACCTTGTCTTCAGAACTTTAAGCACTTAGTCTTCAGAACCCTTGGTCTTTAGTAACTTAAATTTTCAGAGTTTTAAGAACGTCGTTCAGCAGAACTTTGTCTTCAACACTTAATCTTTAGAAACTCAAGTCTTTAAAGTCTTCAGAACTTTGTTCAGCAGAACCTTGTCTTCAGAGTCTTCAGAAGATAATGACTTCAGAAGCTAGAAAGTCTTCAGAAATAAAACATCAGAGTCACGCTCAGAGGCAAAAACCAAGAGAACATTGCAGCAACAACATATTTTCTTCTCAGAATCTTTCTGAATGTGAGTAGAGCAGAAGCATACTTACTTCTTATGGTGCATAAGCGACTTTGGTCAAATCAGAGTGATGTTGCATATGATCTCTATCAGAGTCAGAACCTGTTTGTTAATTCTTCAAAAAAACAAATGTTAGAGTACCAAAATTATTCCCACACA